CTGAAAGTATCGATACTCAAGTGAGTAGCAACCAAATCATCTTGCGATAACGCTCATATCGGTATTCTGAAAGTATCGAAACCATCCTGCTCACAATTTTATTGACTGACTCGATATTGAGTACTCGGTATCGACACAAAAGTATCGAATACCTACTTGTATCGAACCATCCCTAGCCGGTGGCTGGGCGACGCTGGATGCAAACAGGCCAAAACAATCCATATCGCGAGCCCTAGTTGGCTGCTAATCGCCCACTAGATAAGCGCGATTATTTGCAAAAAATAGCAAATTCCGTCAGTTTATCGAGTGCGGGATGCAAAGCCCCAGTGATTTGAGCGATGTGGGCGCCCAGGGGCGCCTCAGGGAGCTTTCGGGGGACGCGCAAATAGTTGGGCGCCTACGGCAGGCCCTGCTGTCCTGGGACCACCGCGCCACGCCCACTTTGGACGGGTTCCTGCAGGATGTTCCGCAGGCTGCCCAGGAGCTGGCGGCGCTGTTTTGGCCCCAACAGGACCTGCAGGGGCTGCAGCCCCTGCTGGAGGCGTAAGCTTGGGGGTTTTCGCTTAGGCAAGCCCGGGGCTAATTGAGGTTTGCAGGTTTGTGCACCGTGAAGTATACGATTGGGTGTTCGGCCTGATCAAGCCGACGTTGGCTGCAGAGGACTGGCGGCTGTATGGGCTGTCCAGGGAGTTTTGCCATCGCAATGGCAGTCCGAAGCAACTGGGGGCCACGTTCTACAACTTTGTGCCCAATGCTGCTGTAAGCCGCGTGAATCTTGACGCTTTTGTGGCGTTTTTGCCGCCGAAAATCACAAATCCTTGCTAGTCCTCTTATCACGGGTTTTACGCGAAAACTCCTCGAGCGTTTTTTGCCAATTTTCCTCCGCTGTCCAGTGGAGGCTTCGGACAGTTCCCAGCTGTGATGGTTTGGGAGACTTTGTGGTTCTTTGGCCAAAAATTCCTAGCAATCAGCCTGATGATGGCCCACCACTGTTGGCACCGGAAAATCCCTACCGCGACCAGTTTTCGAGTTATTGACTCCGAATCAGTGACGTCGCGTCAACGCGCTGTACCAAAAAGCCTGATGATGCCTCCATTCGAAACGCCCAAACATTGAAGATCGATGGGCGCCCTTTTCAGTGGTTTCATCGGTCAGTGGCCAGTTTCTCCGGTTTTTTCCCAATTAATTTTCTCAGCTCTGGTAAAACGTCGTTTAATCCCTGATGATGGCGCGCGCGCTGAAACTTTTACGTTCTATAAACAGAAGCTTTCTTTAGCGAGCCATCATCAGACTGGGGCCGGCAAAATTGGAGCAAAAGCAGGCACGTGACTTGATTTCGTTACCACCAGCCTGAAGATGGGAGGCGTTGATTCGAAACGCCTGGAACTCTCCTATCGTCAATGTGACTTTCGGAAATTGTTGGACGTGTTTCGTTGCGTCTTGAGTCATCATCAGAGTATTCCTCACAAAACCAGGCCGTAAACGGCCAATTAACTTCCCCGTATCGCCTGCAGCCTGATGATGGTGTCCATTCGAAACTTTCAGCGTTTTTTCTGTAGCCCCGGGGCTTTCCAAACCCGTCAATCCCAACGCTGCACCCATTCAAATGTGAAAATAATCAATCATCAAAACCGGTCTTTTGTTGCAATTCAATTTCCTGATGATGTCCGAGTTCCGAAACTAGCTGGTTCCCTAGGGCAGGTATTCGCCTACATTTTTCACTTGTTTGGTTTTCGGGAAGGATTTTTTGAAAATCGCCTGGAAAAGTCTTCAGTGAACAATGACTATGACTGATTAATTCCTGCAAAACAGCCTGATGATGGCATGCGGTGGAAACTTTCACTGTCCACACACGCGGTCTTGGAGTTTTCCAACATTAATTTTTTTGCAATTGATTTTCCAAACTGTTGTTCGTCCAATTCGAAAATTCCTGCCGAAAACCTTGAAGATGGCATCGGCCCGAAACTTTCAGGGTTGACAGCAGAAACTTTCATCTTCCTAGTGCAGCAACCGGTGAGTTCCCAGCTGCTTTAGTTTCGAAGCCGGGAATTTTAGAAGGTTTTTGTGCAAAAAAGGTCCCGTGACTGAAAGTTATTTGCCAAAAGCCCTGATGATGCCCGGATGCGAAACTTTGTGCGTCTCAGGGGTGGTTATCGGTCTTTCGAGGTCCCCAAATTACGGCTTTGGCGGTTGAAGCGCAATTAATTTGTGAAATATTGTCTGACAATTGTAGTCAATTGTGCCTGATGATGGCGCCAAATTGCGAAACTTTCTTGCCAAATTCCCGCCGGGGAATTGATGGTTTTGAGCTTCGCCATGATTTTAGTTTGACAGTTTGAGGTTAGTTGGGAAGGGAAAAATTGGGGCAAATTTCCCAAAAATTGCCCGAAATTTGCACCAACATCAAAAGAGGGCCAGTGGCGTGCCGCGTTTGGCATTTAGCCCAAAAGTGAATATCGGCTTTTAAATACGTTTTCGCCCGCCCAATCCAGTGGCGTGCCCGAAAATGTCGCAGCTCGACCAGTTTCGGAGATTTTTCAGTTTTTTTAACAACATTTTTGGGTTTTTTTTCGAAAACCACTCGTGCAGAGCAGCAGAAAATCCTCCATAACTCGCTTAATCGCAATTCTACCAAAACCGTCCATATAACCTTTTCTGGGGCTCTTGACCTCCTCTATCCAGTGGCGTGCCTGGATTTTTCCTGCTGTTATTAGCTTAGGAGAAATGGGGTTAATTATGCGGTCTGTCCCTTCAGGTGGTGGAGCTGAGCACGCTGCCCACTAAACGGACGCCACTGGAAAAACTCCACTGCCTCCAGAGCTCGTACGATTACATTTTCGCCGAAGTGAAGGGAGCCCTCATTTCCGTCATTGCCAAATACTCAGGTACGCCCCTGTTTCCAAACTCCAAAGATGAGAAAAATCGAAAAAATCCAAAAACCCCAGACAAAGAACTCGAGCTGCCGCTGATCAGCAACGAGGAGGCCGCGCCCATCCTGATGGCGGTTATCATGAAGTCGAAACTTTTCTACGCCCACAGCGAGTTGGCCTACATCCGCACCCTTGGGCGGGGCCTGCTGGAAAGCCACGCCCACCTCAGGTAGGTTTGGCATTTGACGTGTGCCAGTCAACTGTCACTGTCGCCAATCGAATGCAGGCAAATCTTCGCGAAGTTCGAAGAGGCGCTGGAGCGCATCCAGCGCCAGCCAATCAGTGACGCGATGGGCGACCAGCTGGCCAATCAGATGGACGTATGCGAGACCATCGAGTTTGTGCAGCGATCTGCGGCCAAGCAGCCGAAAAAGACGATTTTTGCTGAAGAAACGGGGCGCGTCGCCCGCTTGATCACGGCCGCCACCACTGAAACCCTCAATTTTTGATGTGCTTTTTTCTGGACAATAAAACCGGTTTTATCTAATCGGCGATCAAACTCGCTCACACGAGAGGTTCGAAGGTTGATTGATTATTTGCAAATTTTTGCCGTTGATTTAGTGAGTGATTGAAGCATGGCCGAACTGCTGGAAGATTTTCCTGCTGGTCCCCTGGACCTTTACAGGCGAAAGGCGTCCTTTGACTGGAAGCAGATGAAGCTTTTCCTGTTCGGCGAGGAGGAAATTCGGCACAGTGTAAGTAGCAATCGAGTTGTTTCTGGAAAAGGGTTGCCAAACTGGGCAGAAGGTGTGGGCTTGTGTGGACGCTTTGGCGGATGCGCCCGATTCATAAAATCCTCCGTCTCTCCCAGAGGAAACGAGCTGGCACCATTGCAGGTTTATTGGGGAATGGAGGAGCTCCATGCCCACAAACCCGCTTCTATGGAGGTTTTTTCTCAATCGAGTTTTACTCGTGGGGGGAGGGGGTGATGTTTGGGCTTGAGACCGGAATTTTCGGGAAAAAGTCAAGGTTTTAAACAGAAGAGTCCGGGTAAAAGTTTCCACGTTGGGAAACTTAAAGGAATGCAATTGAGCCAACGTTTCGAAAATCGGCCATCTCCAAGAACCAAAACGCGCCTAATTGGGTTCGATTTCAGTGTTTAACTCGCTTGAAACCAGTTCGATTTTAAGCGTTTCAAAGCCATAAAAGTGCCAAAAATGTGCCCTAAAATACGCAATTTTTCGCTTTGGGGAAATTTATGTATGAAACGCAGCGTTGATTCGGTCGGGTTTTTGGCCTGTTTCGACGTTGGGGGAGATTTGTTTGATTTTTTTAATGTGCTTTTCAATAACATGGAAATTTTCGGGTAACGTGCTTAATGCAGGCCCGATTCTGATAAAAAAGTTGACTTTGCAAGCGGTTCAAGGGTACTTGGAAGTTAAACTTTACGCGGCTGGCAAAAATCAAGATTTTGTGGTATTTTCATGCAAATTGTGATTCTTTCTTCAGTCGCCCCACGAAAGCAACATTGAATCACCAAACGCAATTTTCGCCAGCGATGGTGTCAGAACAATGTAAACAATCAAGGAAAATACCAACGACTGACTACGAATATAAAAAGTAGTCGTTGAAAAACACAAATTGGAATCAATTTCCTACCTTAAATTCGAATTCCTCCGCCATTCCGTGTGGACATTCACTTTCCACATTAAAAGACAAATTCCTCCGCCACGAGCACGAAAACGACCATCTGCACTCCGCCAGCATCAAGAAGAGACTAACCGCCCACTCGGGCCGATCAGCTGAGGCCGTTCGGCTCAACGGCGCCTTCTGATTGGTAGCCGAGTGCAGCCGAACGCCCGATCGGCGACCTTGACGTGCCGATGACAGGGGGTCAGCGGCGTGGGCAGGAATTTTTATTTAATTAAAAATAATTTTGAATTTCCCCAAAAGGAAAATGTGCCCCAGGGGCGGAGCCCCTGGCTTAACAGCCCCAGCAGGGGATAATGGCGTCATCTTAGTCAAAAAATCCTGGCCCAATGATGATTTTTTCGGGATTTGGACAAGTTTTTTCGATTAGTGGCTCTTCTGAGAGGGGCACAGCCCCAAGGGGCCACACCCGCTATTCTAAGGGCCTGCCCCAACCCGTTTCTTGCCAAAAGTCGGGCAGACTAGCCCGAAATGGGGCCCTAAACCGAAATTTGTAATGGGTATGACAACTGTCAGGGCTGAAGGTTTTTCACGGATTTTGGGGCGAATATTCCGAGAAACGGCGGCCAAATGGGCGTTTTCCAAGGACGAACTAGTGCTGAATGCAATGGCGTGCCTTAAAACCCGGGATTTCTAACCGCAAAGCCACCATCAGGAAATCTCCCTTCAGACCCTTGCCAGGGGCGTGCGGCATTGCCACTCTCTAGCTTTTTGGGCAAAAAAGGCAGTTGTTGGCCTTTTGGGCTAATTATTGGGGCGCTTGCAGCACCCCTTGTCCACTCACTCCATGAATTTTGAGGAAATTTTACTCATAAAAGCCTCTAGGTGTATGCCTGGTTGCATAGAGTAACTTCCCTGGGCGGAAGCTTACTGGCTGCCGCTAAGGGAGGAAAATGAGTTTTTGAGGAAAATAATGCCCCTCAAACCCTGCGAGGGTTTATGCCAGTATTTGCCTTCATATAAAGCTCAAGTACGCTTCTTTGGGCAAATGTGACCACTATCCAGAGGTGCTGAGGGCGCAATTGGCTGGAAACACTTATTTCGAACTCAGACTTTAAGCTATTGCCAAAAATCAGGGTTTTGTGGGATTTTCATACAAATTTCAGCGTGTGTCGAGTTAACTGTGTCAGAATGACTCGGGATGTTTCAAGTTGCTACTTTTTCGAGGGCAGGAGTTATGATTTTTTTAAGCAGAGGGTGCAACTGGCTGGAAACACTTATTTCGAACCCAAACTTTGTGCGGTTGCCAAAAATCAGGGTTTTGTGGGATTTTGATGCAACTTTCAGCGTGTGTCGAGTTAACTGTCTTCGAATGACGCGGGATGTTTCAAGTTGTTACTTGGCCGAGTTCATGAGTTATGATTTTTTTAAGCAGAGGGTGCAACTGTCTGGAAACACCTATTTCGAACCCAAATTTTGTGCTGTTTCCAAAAATCAGGGTTTTGTGGGATTTTGATGCAACTTTCAGCGTGTGTCGCGTTAACTGTCTTAAAATGATTCGGGATGTTTCAAGTTGCTACTTCGCCGAGTGCAGGAGTTATGATTTTTTTAAGCAGAGGGTGCAACTGGCTGGAAACACTTATTTCAAACCCAAATTTTGTGCTGTTGCCAAAAATCAGGGTTTTGTCGGATTTTCATGCAACTTTCAGCGTGTGTCGAGTTAACGATCATAAAAAGACTGGGGATGTTTCAAGTTACTACTTGTCTGCGGGCAGGAGTTACAATTTTTTTAAGCAGAGGGTGCAACTGGCTGGAAACACTCATTTCGACCCCACCCTTTGTGCGATTGCCAAAAATCAGGGTTTTGCGGGATTCTTATGGAACTTTCGACGTGTGTCCAGTTAACTGTCTCAGAACGACTGGGAATGTTTCAAGTTGCTACTTGCCCGAGTACGGGAGTTATTAATTTTTTAAACAGATGGTGAAACTGGCTGGATACACTTATTTCGAACCCAAATTTTTTTGTGCGGTTGCCAAAAATCAGGGTTTTATAGGATTTTCATGCAACTTTCAGCTGTGGTTGTGCTAAAGGTCCCTGATAGACGGGGAATAGTTCATGCTGCTATCTGCCCGATTGCGGGAGTTATGAATTTTTCAAGCAGAGAGCGCAACTAGCTGAAGACACCTATTTCCATCCCAAACTTTGTGCGATTGGGAAAAATCAAGCTTTCCAGGGATTTTGCTGCAGACTTCGAAACCGTTAGGGTAATCTGCCGTTGACAGCTGGTGAAAGTTGCAGGAAGCTGCTTGCTTTGGTTGTAAAGTTATGAATTTTTAAAGCAGAGAGCGCAACTGGCTAGGAACACTCAGTTTGAGCCCGAACTTTACTGGGCTGCCAAAAATCAGGATTGTACGCGATTTTGATGCAAATTTCCCGAGTCTGTAGGGTGAACTGTCTTCTAGCGGGTGCTAGAGGTTCAATTTTCTGGTTGCACTAGTTGGCAAACCACGGATTTTTTAAGCAAACGCCCCAGTTGGCTGGAAACACCCCTTTTTGAACCCCACCTTTACTGGGCGGGAAAAACCCTGGCGTGGGCGCAATTTGCATGCAGATTTCGGCCTCTGTATGGTAAAGCTTCGTCTAAAAACTGTGAAAGTTTCAAGTTCCTACGTTCCCGGGTTGGGGAGTTATCAATTTTCGAAGCAGGAGGCGCAACTGACTGAACAAACTTTATTCGCTTGGGAAAAATCTGGGCTTTTTGGCATTTTTTAACACCTTCACATTCTGCCTGTTAAACTTGCGCACCTGTTTTGAAGTTGGTGATGGTTTCGGCACAAAACCCTCAATTTTCGCAACAAACCTCAAACCTCAAACAAGCAAGTTTTGCAAGCTTTCCGGCCTGCTTCGCAGCTCACAGGCCGAAACCACCCCAAACTCATACCGGAAAAAGTTTCGCAACCCGGCCATCATCAGGCCCTCCAACCCCGCCAACTTTGACCAACTTCAGTGAAAATCCGCGTTTGTTTTAGCACCACATCTGGCAAGTGTTGCGCAGGTATCCAGAATTCCAGCCAATCCAGACGCCGCTAGATTTCGACGCCGAGCGCCATCTAGCGTTCAAACAGGCCGCCATCATTCGCCACCACCAAGCGGAAATGTACGCAATCCAGTTTCCAGAGCGTCCAGCTGGAAAATCGTCCAAATTTCCAGCTTTTCTGTTCCAGATACGATACAAAATTCAACGCTTTCAGCGATTATGCTCCGGCCGCTTTGGTGAAAATGGGCCTGGGCATCAAGATTTTCACGGGTATTCTGGAAAAGCTGGGCAGCGAACGGCACCGTGGGATCATCCAGGAAATTCGCCAGGGAAAGGTAAGCGCTGGGCGCAGCCCAGGCGGATGGTAAGAGTTGTGGGCGTGTTTGCAGGTAAGCGGCTGCTTTGCCATGACGGAAATCGGGCACGGAACCAACGTGAAGGGAATGAAGACTTCGGCGACTTACCTTTCGGAGAGTGAGGAGTTTGAGCTGCACACGCCGGACTTTCTGGCCGCCAAGTGCTGGGCTGGGAGTAAGTAGCTGGAAAAGGGTTGGTTTGCGCAGCAATTTTCGGGTGTATCTTGCCTGGTTCTTGCAGGATTTTCACGGTCGTAAGTGCGTTGGAAAGCTGCAGCTTTCCTCTAGCAGTTGGTTTTTGGAAAATGGAAATCGGACCAAAATTGGAGAAGTTACGAGAAAATTTGCAAGGGAAAGTCCATATTTGAGTTTTAAAGTTTTTTCACGCTCTAAATCTGGTTAATTTTCCCCGTAACTTGCTTGATCTAGTGGGGATTTCAAAAATGTTGCCAGCGGCAGCAAGCCGAACATTTTCGCTCTCAAACGCACTTTTCCGAATGAAAATCGCGCAAAAACTGGTCGAGTTTCGTGGAGTTTTTCCGCTTCAAATCCATTTGGAAGTTCTCAACCAGTTTCGATGGAAAAAGCCTGATTTTTGCGATGAAAAAAACTACAATTCGTTGATGCTTTGCCTCCTCAATTATTGTGCGCAAAGCAAAATTTTTGGGCCCAAAAAAACTGAAAAATTTCTGAAAATTTTTTTTCCTAATTTTGTTTTTTCCAAATTGACATCGCACCGCAAATTATGAAGCTTTTTGCATTAAACCGCAACTTTTTCCATTACTAAAAGATCTTTTTACGTTTTGATTCAATTTTTTATTAAGCCTAATCGCCTAAAAATAGCGTTTTCGCTTTTTTCACTTTTTTTCACATATTTTGAGAAAGTTCGGATTTCAGAAATTTCACAAACCCCAAAAAAACTCAAGATTTTCTCCAAAAAACTCCGTTTTCCGAATTAACATCACACAAAA